AGCAGAGGATTTTGCTTTTTCAGAGGCTTTCTGGGTTGGTAGATATTAAGATCATAAGTATCTTATTTTATCTCAGCAGATTGACCACATCTCTTGAAATTTATTTATGGACAAAGAGGAGAAATAATAGATTACCCTTGGTAGTCTGCCTAGATGAAATTTAATTGGCTTAGACATCTCTTTCGAGAGAATGGATTAATTGGTGTCAGCCTGATGGCTGTTCTGAAGGCTGTCCACAGCACTCTTCTCCTAGCTTTCTCATCACCTTGGATCAAGAACGAAGAAATGTAAGATTATAAACCTTTTAGACTAAAATAGCCAAGTTGAGTTTATTAGGGATAAATGTCATTTCTAACATATACTTGTATGAAATTACTACTTAAAGAGGTAAAATAAAATGCAAGATTTTGGTAGCCCAGACTGATAGAAACTGTATCATGTCTTTGGCTGCAAAAGTAGAAAGTAAGATGTCCTAAAATGTGGGAGTAATAACCCAATTGAATAACATATGGCCAAAGACACTGTGGTCAGTTATAGATTTACATTTTTAGAAGGGAATTCACATTGGCAAGTAGTTTGATTTTGGTGTAGACAAAAATCAAGTGCTGGCAGGTTAATGTTTCTCATAGCCAGTGCAGAGAATGGGTGTTAAAGGAGTGTTTGATAATTATAGTCAGTGTCTCCAGCCAAGATCCAGAAATAATATAAACCTGGTTATGGAACTGTTTTTATGTGAAATCATCAATGGCTTCTATTTATTGGTCACCCGCCTTGTGCCGAGTACTTGTATTATTTAGAACCCATTCCCTACAAGTTTTTGAAGTCGGTGGTATCATATCCTTTTATAAATGAGAAACTAGATAATCAGATCTCTAAATTAATGTGTACAGCTTATTTAGGCACTTCCTGAAAGGTAGTTGAAGGTTTTAAACTCAGGCTGCTCCTCTGATGGCATACTGCTTTGTTGGCATGAGTGTACCCATTGAGCTGGCATGGTGGGGACTTCTGCTCTTTTGTTAACCTATGAGCTAGTTAATCCTGTGGCTGTTCATAAGTCCAAAATGAATCTGTGTAGTGATAATAACCAACATTCATTGAGCTCTTACTATTTACCAGTCTTATAGGCTCATTGGGTGTGATTTCTTTAATTTGCACAATTTATTGCAGTAGTTAACCGTTGTTGTCCCCACCTTGCACGTGAGGAAATTGAAGTAAGGGGAGCTAGGTAGAATCGGAATTTGAGACAAGGTATTGGGCTAGGAAGCTCACTCTTTTAACTACTGTACTGTTTTTGGCTTATGCAAATGGACAGTGTGGTTACACATGAGCAATTAGAATGATACTTATTCAAGGAATTGGTTAGCATTCTTTATTCTTTTCAACTCTTTTTTTAATTCAAAGATGTTTATATTTTGGCGTTCTTGTTTTCATCATAAATAAGCTTATAACTGAGTATTCAAATACAAGCCAAAGGATGGTTGGCTGAGATTACTGTGGCTGAACTTCACTGCCGTCATCCTCAGGATGTGACAGGCAGTGCTAATAAACTCTGACTTTGAGCCTTAGCCTTGCTTATACATATGGAGTTGTCTACAGGGATTTGGGGAAGATTGGGGGAGTGGGGGGTGGGAAGATAGGGAAAAAACCCTGATTATGTTGACTTTTTTAAACTAACAAAATTGTCAAGTTCACATAATTCAACCTAATATGCCCCAGAGGAGGATGTTTTAGAGAAAGTGTGGGTTAAGAATTTTGAGATATTTTAGAGATTTGAGTCTTTAATTTCTCCATGACTAAAACTTTCCTCTTTACAACCATTTATCAGACAGGTAGGCATTCCATTTTCACTTCATGTTCCTTTTTCTTCTCTTTTTTCATTTTAGTGATTTGGATCCTATTCAGTGGTCAGATTAAAATAATTAAACAACTGGTTTGATGTCCTAATGACTGTTTTAAGTATAAAAAAGATACACTGAAAGGTAGTTTATTATTCCATACAGTTAATTCTTAGGTCAGAAGAGTAAAAGAGGTGCACAGAGCTACATTGTGTTACAAGAAAGAGTTTTAAACTATCAATGAAAAAAAGTAAGTAATACCTGACAAAAATCAATAAAACTGTTACTTAAGATATTTCCATATTGCTTCTTCATTGGCGTTCTACTTGCACTAGTCTTCCCTTTTATCCAAGCATCATCAGATGTGGGGTTTACTCCTTAAACATCTTTTCACTGTAATAGGATCCCATTCCTTTAGAGGTAGCCCAATTAGGCAATAGTCATTGTATTTGATAGATTAGAAACAGGTAACTTCTCTTCTCTGAACATATGTTCATCTTCGAAAAACCGCTTTACGCTTCTGCTGAACTTTCAGCAATTGTTTTGACAATATTTCCAACTCTTTGAACACTTTGTGCATAGGTGTTCAAAGAATTGCATAATTCACTCATAATATCTCTTAGGAATTTGGGGTGAATGATTGAACTGAAATGAATGACAGCATGTCACCCTCTGGTTGTTTGGTACTTTTTATATTATATGGTTTATTATTATTATTATATGTTTACTGAAGTAACTAACAAGGGAACAAAAACATACTTTCATCAAAACTATAATGAGTTTTAGGAAATGAATAAATATTACAAGCATAGTTTAGTCTGCTTTTTTATACCTTTGGGCAGAATGAACATTACTATGGGTGCTTAGTATACACTTGCTCAGATGAATGTTTTGGGTTTTTTAAAAATCATTTTATTGGGGGCTCATAAAATTCTTATCACAATCCATACATCAATTGTGTAAAGCACATTTGTACATTAGTTGCCCTCATAATTCTCAAAACATTTACTCTCCACTTAAGCCCTTGGCATCAGCCCCTCATTTTTCTCCCTCCCTCCCCGCTCCTCCCTCCCTCATGAACCCTTGATAATTTATAAGTTATTATTTTGTCATATCTTATACTGTCCGACGTATCCCTTCACCCACTTTTCTGTTGTTCATCCCCCAGGGAGGAGGTTATCTGTAGATCCTTGTATTGAGTCTGCTGAACTGGTGTGAACCAGCAAAATCTCACCACTGATCCTATTTCTTTGTCTTTTGCTATAAATAGAAAGTATCTTTGGGACACAAAAATACTCCAGTGCTGATTTTGAGATGTATCCTAGATAGAATGTGCTTTAGGCTTTTATTTCTTCTGGTTAGGGCCTTGTACTTTTCCAAAAGTGAATAATGGGGTGCCCACTTTTAGTAGAAATTGTACGATTACATTTGGGGAAAATTTGATTGCTCAATGAAGGTCTGTTCTTGAGGGAGTTGATCTGTAAAGTAAGAATGAGAGGAGTTTTAGGCCACAATTGCTCTTATTGGAGTCAAGATTTTGTGAAAGTCACAGTAAATGAAGTTTCTAACTCTTGGACTCCTTGTGTGTGACAGTGTGTTAGACAGGGTTCTCTAGAGAGACAAAACCAGATTGCTAATAATTTTATATATATATTTATACAGATCGGTAGATATATAACACAAGAAATAAGCAGATAAATTATAAAGCAGTACAAATGGCTCAGTGCAACTCACTCCCGTGAAACAGTTGTGAGACACTGGCAGACACTGGTAGTCTTGAGGGCCACCAGGTAGTCCTCTGTAGATCAATTCAGGCTATCCGGGCACAGGCCGCAAACAGCAAGGCAGGTCACCAACAGTCAGCCAGATGACAGGGTCTAACAGCCCCCAGCTCAAGAGATGTAAATTCCAATTGTGTGGCGAAGCCGGTCTTGAAGGAACCTCAAATGACAGCGACACAGTCCACGGGTTAGGTGTCCCACAGGTAGTGTAGCTTGCAAATTGAGGCACAGAACAAACAAGGCAGCCGCACACTGGTGCGATGATCAAAGAGCGAGAGACAAGAAAGGCAATGCTTGCCGAGCCATTTATCTCTCCGCCCTTCAATTAATCCCACATGTGTTTATCCGCCAGGTTGGCACAATAAACTAACTACCTCAGACAGTTTTACTTTTAGTTATTGGTGCTTGATAATGACATGAAGGTCAAATTAAAAAATTTTTTTTGCCTCTGAATTTAATCGAGTCCTCTTAAGTTTTCATTTCTTCTCTCTCCATTAGTTGGTATTTTATTTTACAGTCTCGGGATTCTTCTGATCAAACAGAGTGTATAGTGAAATCTAAAAAGCTTACTACTGAAATCCTTTGTAATACTCCTCCTGTGCAAAGATTTTTATAAAATCCCTTCAATTTCATACTGTAAAGAGTTCCCACTAAAATGCTTCCCTAGTTCTCTCTATATGCATTCTTCATTTTATTCCCTAGTGCTTTGTTGTGTGCTGCAGATACTGCATTCTTACAAACTGAAGGTCGGTGGCAACCTTAGTCAAGCGTAGTCTATCGGAGCCATTTGTCCCATAGCATGTGGTGACTTTATGTCTCTGTGTCATATTTTGTTGGAAAATTTAACAATATTTTGATTTAATGATATTGTTCACTTAGTAGACTACAGTATAGTATGAACAAGACTTCTTTATACACACAGAAACATATATATTTGGGGGGAGGGGGATGACTCATTTTATTGCATTAGTATCTTTATTTGTGAAATGAAACTTGCAATATCTCTGAGACAATATCTGCCTGAATGCAGTTCAAATAGGTACCAGAATGGTGGTGATCTGAATGTGCTCTAACTCGTGAGTAATAAGTGGTCCTCCCTTTTCTTTAGGATTTTCCTCTGTTCTCTTTCCAAAGCTTGTGGTACCGTAAGAACTACATGTCTCCTTGAACATGTTAATCTCTTATTTCAGAGGATAAATCACAGCTGTATCTCTATTTCAAGTTATATCCCCCTCATTGGGGATAGAAATACGTTTAGGGGGTAATAGCTGTCTGATCAATGCCTCTGTATGCACATGACTCTTTCACTTTGTTGCCATGCATTGTCCCATAATTTGAAATAACTATAGGATAAACAAAAGAGATTATTGTTTTTGTTTTTCAGTAACAAATGCTTTAAAGAAAACAGATGATTTTGTGGCATCTAAAACACCAGCTGTTGACCTGGACCACAAGTTCAGATGCAAGGTTGTGGACTGTTTAAAATTTTTCCGCAAAGCCAAATTATTACACTATCATATGAAGTATTTCCATGGAATGGAGAAGTCACCAGAGCCCGAGGAAAGTCCCGGAAAGAGACATGTCCAAACAAGGGGTTCTGCAGCTTCAGATAAGGCCAGCCAGGAGAGTCTGCCTAGGAAACGAGTCTCGGCCAGTTCCCCAAGTAAGTATTTTGATTTCCTGCTGTCATGGATGGCTCAGCTTTAGGCTGATCTGGTCAAGTTGAGTTCTGTAAAGTTGACCATGACCAAAGAGTTAGATTATGTGCTGGTAAGATGTGCTGTTTCCTCTTGGAGGAGACTTTGGCCCTCACACTCTGAAGTGGGGACAGTAAGAAAGGGGAAACGCTTGCAGAAGCCAGGAGAAGAACTCTCACACTCAGAGGAGCCTGGGCAGGGTAATTCCTCCCCACCCCCAGCCCCGTAAACCTATACCCCATCCCTACCAGCAGCAAGACTGAAGACCAAAAGGTCGTGATTCTATTACTGCATCTAAATTTGAGTCCTATTTTATCCTCCTTGCAACTGAAGGCACTTTCTAACAACACTTTATTTTGCATTAAAACTGTGGTGGTAGTATTGAAGGCTGCTGTAAATCTCATGTTTGTATATCCTGTTACAGAGAATCTTTTGGGGGATTTCATCTGAAACTGACAAATGGAAGAATCCCAAGTTTCTTAGCTTTTTACCTGGAATGATAACATCACTATAGTTTTTAAAGTTATAAATTTTTCACTTCTAATGTATCCGTGTTAGATTGTACGTGAACTCATAGGACATCTAACAATATTCTCATAGCACAAATCAAAACTAAGCCTACTGCCATTGAGTTGATTCCAACCCATAGTCATCTTATAGAACATAATAGAACTTCTTAGGGTTTCCAAGCCTGTAAACCTTTACAAGAGCAAAAATTTCCTATTTTTTCCAAAGATCTAGAGCTGGTGGGTTAGAACCGTTTACCTGTTAGCAGCCCAATGCTTGGCAGGGTTCCCAGGGCAGTATGAAATTAGGTGTCGGGATGGGGGCAGGGCCATGCGGAATACCATGGTCTCTGACACGCAGAGAAATCAGTCCTCAGCCATGTTGTGAAGACCTGATGTGTCTGGCTCAGGTAGAGCTTTGTCATATGTGCTACACTGTATTAGAGAGATAATGTGAGCTACATATGTAATTAACACTTTCTCATAGGTACATTTAAAACCGACAAGAAACAGGTGAAATTAATTTAAGTGATATTTAACCCAGTATACTACCATCCAGCATATAATCAATACAAAAGTTAGCTATTTTAATAGTCTTTTTCTTTAACTAAGTCTTTAAAATCTGGTGGGAGTCTCACACCAACTAAACATCTCAATTTAGACTAATCACATTCAGGAGTTCAGTAGCTATATTGACCCATATAACTGCTGTAGGCAGTTGTGCTGTGTGCCTTTGGGAAACCGAGCAGTGAGCTAGAGTGAGCAGCCCAGCAAAGGCCAGCTGGCCGTGATCACTTGGGGAGATGAGCAGTGGTGGGCTGGAAGGCAAGACAGCCCTCGCCACTGCAATGATGCCAGCGAAACCTAGAGTCCAGCCTGCTCCTCACATGGGAAGAGGTATTTAGGGCAAGACGTGGACAATAGGCAGCCAGTTTCTGAGTTCACAGTCTTAAAATTCTGTTTAAGGAAAACAGAGTGTTATGGGATTTGTGTTATCTGGGATCTGTAATCCTAAAAGGTATACCTGAAGTCCTAGTGATGTAGTGGGCTATCTACTCAGCTGCTATCCACAAGGTTAACAGTTGGAACCCACTAGCTGCTCAGCAGGGGAGAAATGAGGCTACTTAATTCTCTAAAGATTCAGAGTCTTAGGAACCCATGGGCAGTTCTTATCTGTTCTGTAGAGTCACTGTGGGCCAGAATCAACTTGATGGCAGTAAAATTTTTTTTGGAGGGGGGGTTGTTTATTAATTAAATCATTTTATTTGGGGCTCTTACAGCTCTTATAACATTCCACACATCAGTTGTATCAAGAACATTTGTACATATATTGCCATCATCATTTCCAAAACATTTCTCTCTACTTGAACCCTTGGTATCAGCTCCTCTTTTTCCCTTCCCTCCACTCCCTCACACCCTCATGAACTCTTGACAATTTATAAATTACTTTTATTAAGATATTCTATTGGGGGCTCTTAAAACAATCCAGACATCAATTGTATCAAGCATATTTGTACATATATTGCCATAAATATTTTCTATATATTTACTTTCTATTTAACCCTTAGTATCAGCTCTTCTTTTTTCCCTCCCCCACCCTCGTGACCCCTTGATAAATTATAAATTATTATTATTTTCATATCTTACACCGACTGTTGTCTTCTTTCCACCACGGTTTCTGTTGTTCATCCTCCCTGGAGGGGAGTGTGTGTGTGATTATGTGTTGATCATTGTGATCAGTTCCCCCTTCCTCCCTCCCCTTCCCACCTCCCCCCTCACCTTCTGGTATCTCTACTCCCATTCTTGTTCCTAGATTCCTTGTGTTGTGACCGCTGATCTCTTCTCCGTACCTGTGCACATGCTCCGGTCTAGCTGCCGTGAAGGCAGTACTGGGGTCATGATGGTGGGGGTGAGGAAGCCTCACGGAGGTTTGTTTGGTTTTATGATGAATACTTGGATTATGAAAATGGGAACTTGAGTTCTCTGGTAGAGATTTTCTGGGGCTTCCAGCAGAACTGTCAGGATGAGAGTTAAGAGATATCCTACAAAGATTATTGTTATTTTTGCCCCCTCAATTTCTCTGCCAATAAGATTGAATGGGAGAAAAGGTTCTGATTGGAGAATCTAGAGACTCACATCTTACTAGAAATCCTGCCTCCATCCATTTTGCAAGTCTTCACAAATAAGCTTGCCTGATATCTAAAGTAGTGATATTTGGACGCACCTGCTTGCTATTCAAAAGGTTGACTCTTTTAACCACCAAAAGCTTGGTAATCTAATTTCTAGAAAACCCTACAGGGCAGCTCTGCCATACAGGCTCACTCAAGTCAAAATTGGCTTGAGAACACCTTGATGGAGGTCACTGTACTGGGAGTTATAAAGTCATAAAGTATGCCCTGGCTGCCTCAGAAAAACCCTGAACCAATATTGTAAGCTCCTCTGTTTAACATAATGTATGTGTCCCAATCATGGCCGTGATCCTAATTCAGGAGTCCTACAGTGACTGTGATGTATTGATCTGCTACCAATCATGTTTTTGTGACATTTTATCCTCCCATCCCTTTTAAAGCTATGTATCTCAGCAAACCTTTGAACCCCGTTCTGACCTTAGGCTAATGGCCTACCTCATCCGATGGTATGTGTTTGTAGTTGTCTGGTCTTTGTGCCATTAAGATTTCATGTTCTCTTTAGCAAAAAGTAAGAGGTCAACTATCAGAAACTCAAACTCCAAACTGTATATGGTGGCTTTGCTATGACTTTGTGAAGTTCTGGGATCCAGCCCCTTTCTCATTGCTTTTTTAAGCTTAAGGTGTTACTTTCCTCTGCCTGGTCCATGATGGCTCCTCACCATGCCTGTCTCTTCAGCTGGGAAAGGAAGACTATGTCTTTTTCTTAGATTTTAAGGATACAACCCAAAAGTGCCACACATCACTTCTTTTCATATCCAGTAGACCAGAATGCCATTACGTAGTGACATCTAGCTCCAGGGAAGCATGACATAGAGAAATGGGTGTTGAAGGATGTAGAGCGTGAAGGAGGGCTTTATTGAAGAGCCCACTTAGCTGGTGTCTAGATGGGATTCTTGGTTGTGGATGATGGAAGATGATATTGGCAAAGTAAAGATCATGTATTATGGGTGGCAAGCCCTGGATCCCACTTACTCTGATAGGCAATAGGAATCCCTTTCAGTATATACCCACTGCTGTTCGGCTTTTTAAGTTGCCATCCTCTTGTATAGATTAGAACATGCTCTGGCCACTGATTCGTCCTACCACGCGGCCATGATCTGGTGTACAAGAGTTCTCACATAAGTGAAGTGCTGTGAGTTAACTCTTTCCTTCTCCCTCCTGGAAGTGATAGTCTGATAATGGTAGTTGACCTTCTGCTCTCATAAGTGGGTGACGATCTGATGGGGGAAACGGCAGGTTAGAAGAGCTCTCTTGATTGTTCTCCTGATGGACATTGGCAGCCTAGGGAAAGGACAAGTGACCATCATGAAGGATGGAAAGCCCCACCTTCCGGAGGTAGGAAGCTGCTCTTTGCCCAGCCCTGTCTGGGCAGCAGGAGGCAAGCACTGCAGGCAGGCACGTGCTTTGTGGGCCACGGACTGGCTAACCCCAGTCCAGGAAGAGTTTGTAAGCAAGATAACAGATAACATTTGAGTACTTGCCATGTGTCAGCCAATGCCTGTGGCATTTTCTTGAATTCCCAGAACTAATCTTTTAAGGTAGGTACTGTTCTGTACACTCCATAGATGACAAAATGAGGTGGCTTTGGCTTTTTTGTTTTTGTTTTTTGGAGGGCTTTGTTTGTTATTATGTTGGGGTAAATAAAATCTGATTTCAGGATCTGATTAAAAAAATGGTTCATAATCTTTTATGAAATTCATAAGACAGCAGACCTGCTTTGCTAAAGAGCTGTGTGACCTTGGCTGCATCAATTTATTTCTCTGACCCTTGGTTTCTTGATCTTAAAATGAATGTTTTTACAAATTGGATTAAGAGGCACACCCCCCCCCCTCTAAATTTCCTGTTTTACTGTTTCACAGTGGCAGAACGTTTTAGTTGGAAAGGCACTAAGACTCTTCATGTTCTAAATCAAATCAACTTCTAACTGTAGACCTGAGGCTTACCAGCTGATAGCTACAGCCCATTCTTCCTCTCTGATGGTTCCTGGGTGCTCATTTAACAGATGCCCTGGGCAACAGGGGTGACATGGTCCTGGAGGGCCAGAGCAATCCCAAACTTAATGCCAATTGAGTGGTTTCGTACTCATATCTAGTATATAAGAGAGTGTAGAACTAACTGCCCTGGAGGGTTTCTAAGGCTGTAAATTTTTATTTTTAATTGTGGTTTGGGTAAAAGTTTAAAGAGTAAGTTGATTTTCTAATCAACATCTTTTGATTAGTGCCATTCATTGCAATCCCCACAGTATGACAGCATGTTTTTCCCTTTATCCCT